AGAGTACCGCCTTCTTGCGCTTCTTCACCTCCTCTGGTGTTGAGGACTTACGAACCTTCATGTCATTGAACACTTTGATGACACCATCAGAGACTGCCACACCAGAGGCCTGGAGAATGAGCCACATATACTTTACAAACGAAAGATTTCTGGGACTCCCTGTAAAGTCCCTTCTTCGCAATCTTAGGAGATCTGTATAGATGCCAACAAATATGGTCCTCAGCCCCAAGAGCTCATCAATCCCCTTCCCAAGATAAATGTCACCATTTTCCCACCCAAGCCACTGTCCAAGAACTAGACAGGACACAACCCGAAAATGGCAATCCCAGAAGAGACCTCTAATCATCGAATTCAACATCATCCTCCCCCACCGAACATCTTACAGCCTAGAAACTGCAGACCTGTGAGACCAGAACCTTGGCTTTGATGTGAGCCCAGAATCAAAAGAACCCACAAGCTACTGACTCGTTTCTTAAAGTACTCAATGTCAGTTCCTGGATAGAAGTGCTGACTCAAAACTTCACACATAGGGAAAGGGGACCCAGGTACTCAAGTCATAGATAGCCATCTCTTCTGCAAACAGAACCACAATGGTAGGTGAGACACCACGGGTTCAACAACCCTCGCTAAGTCTTTCAGAACTACTCAATGCAGTTGTTACACAAACCACCCTCTTTCTTGCCGAGGTCTTCTTCAACCAAAGCAGAAATCACAATCCCTAATTAAGGCCCTACCCCATAACCTCCCTGTCCTCCCGGAAAAACGCAGGACCCCAAGATCGCTGATAGAAGTTAGCAGGCCAAACCCAAGTGCCCACGGACCCCGAAAGCTTCTTAAACGTCTATTTTGGGCCATCCCGGGGGACACCCTCAACGAGAGGGTCTACCGCCCACAGTGAAATCAGCTGTGCCCCCCACTCCCGGAACTGCAGAAGCCGGCCACGTGACTCCGCCGCTTCCGGAGTAGGCGGAGAAAAGTGCTCGCCAGGGCCCGGCCCGTCCGGGCGAGAAAGCTGTGCCCGGAGGCAGTAGCACCCCCAGGGCCTCAATCCCAAGGAATCGCTTTTACCGACCGGCGTTATCAGCCCCGTCCGCTGCCGGCTGGAGCCTTGGGCAAGTTACACAACCTTCAGTTCTCGTAGCCCTGGGGCCGAACATGGGGCGGGCGGGTGGTTTCCGGGCGGTGCCCGCCTGGGTCACTTCCCCAAACTCGGCTCCACCCTCAGGCCCCATCCGGGAGAGCCGAAGGCCCCGCTGGTCCAGGGCTTCGGGCCCAGCGGAGGGGCCTGAGCGTATGCGCACGCGCCGGCCGACTGCGCCGTTCCAGCCTTTGCCGGATGTACGGAGCACACAACCCTGATCGCTTTGTGGGCTCCCTCGCTACCGATCAGAACAGTGATCTCCGCGGTGCAAACCCGCGGCTCCGTGTCGCGCGGTGCAGGCCCCTAATTCCAATCGCCAGTGCCTGGACCCCGACGCCCTCACATCTCCATTGGCCCAACGCCCCCGCCCCTCCTGGGTGCAGACATCCTTGCCACCTGCTCTCGAGACAGACCCGCCAGTCGAGGGAGGGTGACGCGGAGACAGGAACAGCCCTTGGGTGGGGTGCGCGCGCCAAGACCGCTCGCGCGCTTTTCCTTCGCCGCCCCCCGGGCCGAGTTCCGCAGCCGCATGCTCCTATCGAACGCGCGCCCCCGTGAACCGACTTGCCTCGGCGCGCGTCCCCGGCTGCTCCGCGAGGGGCGGGCGCGCGCGCGCCACGGACCCCTCCCCCACAGTCGGTGTCCGCGCGAGCGCACCAGCGCGGTGGGGGAGGGGAAGGGAGTCCAGGGGGCGCGCGAGCGTCGTCCGAGGCAGCCCTCCCCAGCGCCCGCGGGCGCGCACGCGCGTCCCAACGCCGCCCGCCCCTCAGTCCGAGACCCTCATCCCGCCCGGGGCGCTGGGGGAGGGGGTGCCGACGTCGCTCCCCCTTTCCCTCCCCCGCGCGCAGACCGACTCGCAGCCACCACCCCTCAGTCGCCATGGCCTGCTGCTCACCATGTTTCCGGAAGCGAAAGGGAGATAGCAAGGAGAGTCAGAAAAGACGAGAGGCGCTGCAGCTGCTGCCGGGATCCGACTGAACGCGGCCTCTCCCGGCCCCTTCCGTTTAGTATGAGCCGCACAATGAGGGGCGGGGCGGGCTTCCGGCGCCCTCCCCACGGGCCGACGGGAAGTGAAGTCCAAGGGTCCTGCGCCGTTCTCGGGCTCGCTGGGTAACGGAGTCTTTTTCGCCAGCAGGCCTCCCAGCGTCACATTGCATGCTGGGAAACGTAGTCCGAGGCAGCCAAGAGGGGCGGGGCCATGGCACGGAGAGCGCGCCCATTGGCCCAATTTTCCAGGAAACGCTCAGCTGAGCAAAGGGCCCCGGCTCTAGGTAATGGGACCCGAAAATGAGTCGTCGACCTCGCCGCTCTTTATCCGCAGCGAAACTGTTTCCTAAGATCCATCTTGGCACTTTCTGGTCTGAAAATTTTGAGTTAATATTTTGCTTTTCTGAATTGAAGCAACTTATTCATTGACCTGGAATCCAGTCCTAGAGCAAGGAGAATAGAAAGTGTAAGGCGTCTTCAATTCAATAAAAAATTTCTTGAGCACCCTTCATGTGCAAAGCCACTTGCATAATGAGAAAAGGCTATCTGCAACTTCGATTAAATTAGAACAAGAAAAAAAAAACCCACCAGGGAAAGCTACAAGGAAGTCTTTGAAAATAGAGCTTTGTCCTTTTTTTTAAAAGATGTCTGACAAACTCACGGAACAATAAAGGGAGAAGGGCACGGTTTTGTGCGATCAATTCAATTCAAAGATTTTGTGCTAGACACAGTGAAAAGGGGAAATAGATATTAAACCAGACTTGACTCTCGTTCTCGAGTTGATAGCCAGGCTTACGTCTAACTTAATACCCGGGAGAATTAAGACACAGCTTTGTGTGGGCCTATGTTTCAAACAAAACGGATGAGGGTATGGGAGTTTTCGTTGGCCTCGAACAATGACAATGGCCATCTCTACAGAAACACATAAAGAGTCGCAAACAAGGGAACTGGGGGCATGGATCCCATCACTGGAATAAAGGATGTAAATGAAGGGTTGCAAGTCCGGTCTTCCCGACCGGGAGTGGGGGCCCCTCGCAGGGCATGCCGGGGATTGTAGTCAGAGACATCCTGCTGCACCACCCACCAGCCGAGTTGCCTCGAGCCCCAGGTGGAGGCTGCCGCTCGACCCCCAGCCCCGTAAACGACCCTGCCAGAAAAGGAGGCTGGCTCCACTTTTCTCAAGCCTCGGGGAGTTTCCAAGAGCAACAAGGAGGGGGAGAGAGACTTCGAAGTTACCCTGGAGATGCGCTCCCGCCCGCCCCTAGCCACGGGATGCCCTAGATGTCCTTATTAGGACAAGAGACTAGAGGGGGTGGTGCCAAACCGAAAGCCCGATGGAGGCTCCTTATAAGGCAGCCTCGGGAGGGAGGCGGGAGTTCGGAGCTAG